GCTCACCGTCACTGCAAATGCCCAGACGAGCAGAACTGGGAAACCCACGTGTGCCGGGAGCACGGAACACAATGTGATTCCATGTGCAGAACCCCGAGACCTTACCCAAAAGCACATGGGCACAGCACGCGCAATGCAACCTCAGGCCAGGAGTAGCCCAGGCTCCCCCCACCTCACTCTCTTCAAATTAAGTTCACTGAGGTGTAATTCAATTGCAATGAAATTCACCCCCCGTTTCATGAGTTTTGACAAACATATACAGTGGTTCTCCCTTATCCACAGGGGGCACAATCCAAGATCCCCCAGTAGATGCCTGAGACCGAGGATGGTACCTAACTCGATATATACCGTTTTTCCCTATACATACAGACCAGTGATCATTTAATTTCTAAATCAGGCACAGTAAGAGATGAACAACAACAACTAATAAAGCAGAACAACTATAACAATACACTATAATAAAAGTTATGCGAATGTGGTCACTGTTTCAGGGGGTCCCTTGCTGAAGGCCTCACAGAGGCTCAGTGCTTGCTGGGACACAGTGCAGTCACCGGAACAGGCTGCTCGTCCTCCACCCACAGATGCCTTTTCCACCCAAGTACACACTAGTCTCACACACTGTGGCTGTAACTTCTAGCACCCAGCAAACCTAGCACCCATTTCTTTTTTCTTCTTCACAATTTCACATATAGAAGATTCATTCTTACCGTAGATCTTAGCAACCTAAGCATCTGATTTTTTTCTTTCCTTATTAAGTAGAGAACTTTCACTTATAGAAAGGACTTTACAGGTTCTCTCTGGCACATCCAAATTGCCAGTGTCACTACTCTTGTGCTTTGGGGCCACTGTGCAGTGAAATAAGGGTGAACACAAGCACTGTGATACCACGACAGTCCCTGAGACGGCTACTAAGTGACAAGCAAGGCGGGGAGGACATAAACAGCGTGGAGACTCAGGACAAAGGGATGATTCACGTCCCAGGCAGGACGGGGCAGGACGGAGTAGGACGTTGCAAGATTTCATCACTCGACTTGAACGGCATGCAATTTAAAACTTATGAGTTGTTTGTTTCTGCAATTTTCTATTTCATGTTTTTGGACCAAAGTTAACCACAGATCAATGAAACCATGGAAAGCAAAACTGTGGATAAGGGCGGACCACTGCACAGTCATGTAACCACCACAGTCAAGATTTAGAATATGTCTCCCCAAAAAAATCCCTCATGACACTTTCTAGTCAACCCCTCCCCATCCACTTGTTAATGGCTGATCTGTTTCCTTCCCTGCAGTTCCCCTTTTCCGGAATGTCCTACAGATGGGATCACACAGCATGTGTGCCCCAGTCTGGCTTCCTTCACGTGGCCTGACTCCTCTTCACTGCTGAGTAGCACTGCGCTGTGCGCACGAGCCACGGTTTATCCACTTCCAGGCGAAGGGCGTTTGGGCTTGTTTTCAGTTTGGGGTTATTATGAATAGAGCCACCACGGTCATTTGAGCACAAGTTCTGGATGGAAGACGTTTTCGTGTCTCGGTGTCAGTACTCCCTGGGAGTGGAGTCACCAGCCACATGGTTAGATGCTGTTCAACCTCGAAAAAAACTGCTGCGGAGTTTTCCAGCGTGGCCGCTCCGCTGGCCTCCCGCCGGCAGTGCTCGGGACTGTCCTCACTCCACCCCTCACCCGCACCTTCACACTGTCAGGGTTTGGGAGTTCTGTGTTTTGCTGTTCTTTGAGGATTTTTTTTTTTTTTTTTTGATGTGTGGTTTTTTTAAAGCCATTCTGATACCTGTGTAATGGTACCTCACTGTGGTCTGATTTTGTGTTTCCTTAACGACCAGTGACATTGGGCAGCTCGCCGCGTCCCCACTTGCTGTCTTCCTCAGTAAGGGTCAGTTCAAGAATTTTTTTGCCCATTTATCAAATTGCCTTTTTTTGTGAACGGGTTATGAGTTTTATACGTATTCTAGAGATGAGTCCTTCATCAGATAGGTGTTTCGAAACTCTTTTCTCCTGGTTTGTGGCTTGTCATTTAGTTCCCCAGCAGTGGTTTTCAAAGAGCAGATGTTTTTAATTCTGATAAAACCCATTTTACCACGCTTTTTGGTCAGAGTGTTATGTATGCTTTTTGTATCCAAAGCAGTCTTTGCCTGGCCCAAGGTCACAAAGAGTTCCTGCTGTTTCTTCTATAAAGCTTTTGGTTTTACCTTCTAATTTAGGCCCATGGCCCATTCCTGTTCATTGTTGTCCATGTCACACGGTATGGGTTAAGAGTTTGGGTTGCCTTTTCTTTTTTTTTTTCAGAGAGAGAGAGAGAGAAAAGGAAAGAGAGAGAGAGAAACATCAGTTGGCTGCCTCCTGCACACCCCTCACTGGGGATTGAGCTCAAAACCTGGGCATGTGTCCTGACCAGGAATTGAACCAGGACCTCTCAGTCCATGGGGCTATGCTCAATGCACTGAGACACACTGGCCAGGCTGGGTTGTCATTTTTTAACAAATGTCTAATTGTTCCAATACTATTTATTAAAAAGTTTAACTTTATTCCATTAAATTACCTTGGTACTTCTGCTGAAAATCAATTGGTCATTTATGTGTGTGTCTACTTCTAGACTCTATTCTGTTCCATTGACCTAAATATCTGTCTTTGCACCAAAAGCACTGTCTTGGTGGCAGTTTTACACCAAGTCTTGAAATAGGGCAGTGTAAGTCTTCCAACTTTTCTTTTTCAAAATTTCAAACACATATTTACATATATACATTTTAGTTAGCTTGTCATTTTTTTAAAGTAGCTCATCATTACACAAAACATTTAAATTTATCTTTCTGTATTTTAATTTGGGTTGTGCTGAATCTCTAGAACAATGTGAGTTGGGTACCTTATCCTTTTGAAAGTGAAGACGTGGTCATTTCTCAGAGATATTATAAAAGAAAGACTCACAGTTCCTCCCAGACCCACCCACACGGAATGGCCTTGCCACACGGCCTTGGCTTTGAGGGTGAGGCTGTGGAGTCCACAGGCTCTGATGCGCAGGGGCACGCGGGGCGGGGGCGGGAATGCACCCTGCCTCTCCCATCTGCTGCCTGGGACAGAAGGGTAGACAGAGTCGAGGTCTGGCTTCCGCAGCCTCGAAACCTCAGAAAGGAGCATGGTTCCTTGACAGATACTTGAAAAGGAGATGGCATCTAGGAGCCACTGGACGGTGAGTAGGAATTCACTAACGCAGAAGAGAGAGGGGGAGTTAATTCCTCAAAGAAAACAGCAAGAGCCAGGGGCGAGGACGGCAGGGAGCTCCAGGCTGCGCAGTGGGAGGAGGCAGGTTGTAACGAGGGCTGGAATCCCACACTAAGCATCAGAGTTCTGTTCTCTGCACATGGACGCAGGCTTCTGGGGTGTGTGTGGGGGGGGGGATCAGATCTGTGTTTGAGGAAAGTCCCCTTGGAGGCAACAGAAGATTCCTTAGAGACGGCCTGTGGATGTGGCAACAGACATGATGAGCAGATCTGAGTGGGAAGACAGCCAAGAGCCTGGATTAGAAGATCCCTCCCTAAAAAGACAAGGCTATCAACAGACCAGATGTGAGACGAAAAGGGGATGGAGAGGCACTACGGGATGACACAGCCATGTACTCCTTCTTCCCCTAGACCCCAAAACCACACAGCTCACCTCGCACATTCACAGCCCCAGGCCAAGTCTGTCATGATCCCTGACCATGCAGCCTTGGCCCTCAAGAATGCCACTAGCCCTGGTCAGTGTGGATCAGTTGGGAGGGCGTCGTCCTGGGCACCAAAAGGCTGCCAGTTCAATTCCCAATCAGTTACAGGCTCAATCCCAGGTAGGGGGCATGCAGGAGGCAGCGATCAATATTTCACTCTCACATCAATGTCTCTCTCTCTCTCCTGCTCCCTTTCTCCTTCTCTAAAAGTCAATAAAAAAATCTTAAAAAAAAAAAAGAATGTCACTAGGTAAGATCATATAACTCAGGCACCCCATGAATATTCATATTCTGCTCTCAGGGGCGATATTTTGTGTTAAGCTACTCTAGAAAACGCAACCTTCCAAAAGATGGTTTTACTTTTATATCACTGGGGTTGAATAAAATTCTTGGCAACCCCACGTGTAAATCTGGTCCGAGTCTCACTGTGAAGTCCGAAAAAGAGACAGATGGAACAGTCAGCGAAGGACCCCAGTGACAGAAACAACTATTCTCTGGAAGGGGAAAAAAGGGCAGAAAGGCATCTTTGTTTATTTTTACAAAATTTGGAGAACACGGTCTCCCCCAGCTGTCTCCACAAGATCAAACCAGCTGCAAATGGGAGTCGAGAGGTGTTTGCCAACACTCAGAGCCGAGTCCAGCAGACCTGATGGCCTGTTTCTTGTCTCTTCCTCCCTCGGGATGTCAAGATGACACTTTCATTTGTGCACTGATGCCGCCTGTCCATTCAATAAGCATTCTGATTCATCTACGAACTTCCAACTCCGCTTCTAATCTAAATCAGGGCGCAGAGGCGCAGGGCTGCTCACTTCCTGGTCGCCTGGGCTCCCGCAGCGCCCACACGGCAGGCGGCCCGGGCGGCTGCTCGGTCTCAGACCCACGTTCGAGGGTAAGAGGTTCCCCGCCGGCCCAGCTCAGGGTCGGGCAGCGCTGCCCACCTAGACCACACGCGGGCCCCCCCGTCGCCCGTCCCCTTGCCAGCCCTGGGAGGACTCCAGAGACTTTTAAGGGGTTGATCTCTGTAACTCCAAGATCAGGTGCAGGGCACAGGCCTGACCAGGGTACCAGATCCGGCCTTTCTTAGGGCTGGTAAGACCGACAGGGAGGAGTCAGTTGTGGGAAAGAGACACCTTAGCCTCCACAGTCAAGCCTCTGTGGGCTTCCTTCCACTGAGCTAGAGCAAAGCCAAGCGGAAAAGCTGCTTCCATTTCTCCTTAAAGAAAGAAAACCAACAAAAAGATAAAAACACAACAAAATACCTCTGCGGGGACCAGTTCCCTTCCTTCACACCCTGCTTTCCTGAGCTTTCCTTGGAAATGTGGGAATAAGTGCCACGTGCAGAACCCCCACGCGGCCGGCCCCCAGGGCCTCTGTGCCGGGTCAGAGGCGGAGCGTTAAAGGGGACGTGATGACTTGTGGCCCGGTTCATCCCGCCCGGGTTCATCCCAGCCTGGGGTTCCCACCAGGAGGCAGCAGCTTCTTCAGGCTGCTGCACCATGACAGGCAGGAAGATGATCTAAATTCTCAATCTTGCAGAAAAAGAAAAAACAAAACACCCACACAGTGGGGAACAATTTCCCCACTGCGTGGGTGGTGGGGCCCCAAGAGCTGTTATCTGCAAAGGGCACTTCTGGGGGTTACCCAGCTGTCACCACCGTGTGGATTCCACCCGAAAACCTCAAGCCAAACAGTGGGGAATGAACATCAAGAGACAATTTTCCACTCTACGAAAATGACCTGACTTTACAAAAATAAATGAAAACGCCGTGATAATAAACGGAATGTGCGCGGGACCCGCTGTGAAACGCCCAGGTGCTCGCGGCAGATGCTCTGCCTCGGAAGGTCTCTACAGTGGGAACAGGACGACGTCATCCTCTGCTTCCAGGCCCTTAGCACCTACCCCACACGATGTCCGCACACACACGCGCACTCCAACCACAGACAGGTCTGAGTGACTACTAGTCTAGCAGGAGTGAGAGGCAGACCCACCATGTCTGGGGACAGGAGTGGGGGAAGTTGGGTGTGCGTGGGTGAGTGGCAGGGGATGTTCGTCCCCTGAGCATGTTCACTGTAACAAGGAGACTGACGGCTGAAGCAGCGTGCATATCCATGGAAGCTGAGCCAGGCCCCCCTTGAGCCTTGAGCCCCTCTTGCTCTGAGCGGCTCTGCCCGACGTGTCTGCAGCAGCCTGATCACTGAAGTAAAAGAATTTTAGTGACTTCTTCCCCTCTGTCCCACATTCATGTCCTCCGAGGCCCCCAGGTCATTCCTCTTCAGAAGTGAACCATCCCCTCAATACTGTCACCTTAGAACTGCGTTTACCTACTCCTGTCCCTTCGCCCGCCCTCACCTACTACTGACATCTGCTGGTTTCTCCACCATCTCTCTTAGCCCTGGCACCGCTGTTAGAATTTTGGAAACAGACCCAGTGATTAGAACCTAAAGTCCCAAACCTTGTTTCTAAAGGTACCCCATCCACACCAAGAGGGCCCAGGAAGCCCTCGACCCCATCATGTGGATTCTGGGTCAGTGTGACAAGGGACATGGAAACCACTTCTCAGCAGCAACTGTGAACATCTGGAGTGACCTGGAACTACAAAGACATTTGAAACGTAGCGGGAGTGCCTCAGAACCTAGAAGCAGAATCCCGTGTGATCCAGCAATCCCACTTGTGGGTGAACACCCAGAAGAAAGCAGGATATGAAGAGCTACCTGCACACCCACGTCCGTAGCAGCATTATTCACAACAGCCAATGGGTGGAAGCGATTCAAATGTCCACTGACTGATGAATGGGATGAACAAGATGTCTATATACATACAATGGAATATTACGCAGCCTTGAAAAGAAAGGAAATTCTGACATGTGCTACAACATGGATAAGCCCTGAGGACATTCTGCTAAGTGAAATAAGCCAGTCACAAAAAGAAAAATACTGTATGATTCAACTTATATGAGATCCCTAAAGCAGTCAAATTCAAAGACAGAAACTAGAAGAGGGTTCCCAGAGGGCAAGAAAGGGAAAATGGAGAGGCAGTGTTCAATGGGGACAGAATTCAAGTTTGAAAAGATGCGAAAGTTCTGGAGATGGATGATAGTGATGGTTGTACAATGTGAATCTATGGTCGATCCTCGTACTTGTGCGTTTCGCATCCCTGGAGTCAACCAACTACGATCAAAAGACTCAGAAAGAAAAAAAATCCCAGAGAGTTCCCAAAAGTAAACCTTGAATTTGTCACAAGCACTGTGCTGAGACCACCTGCATGAGGTGATGCACAGGCACACCCTGCGGTCGCCTCCATGCAAGTACAGGTCAGATGAAATGTTATATTTACGCCATTTTATATAAGGGACTTGAGCATCTATGATCTTGGTATCCTGGGTGGGGAGGTCCTAGAACCAATCCCCTATGGATACTGAGGGACAACTGTACTTAATACCACTGAACTAACCGTACACTTTTAAACCTTTTTTAAGGGTTAAAATGGTTTTATATTATACCAAAAAAAAAGAAAGAAAAAGAAATCAACAAAAGGATGATGTTGGTTTCAATTAATCGAAATAAGACAGTAGGGTTTTTGTTTTTTTCTTTATTGATTTGAGAGAGAGAGGAAGGAACAGAGAGAGAGAGAGACAGAAATATTGATGAAAGAGAACACTGACTGGCCGCCTCCTGCACACTCCCCACTGGGGATCGGGCCCACAACCGACTAGGAATGGAACCGGCGACCTCTTGGTACCTGGGCCGACGCTCAACCACTGAGCCACACTGGCCAGGCAAGCCAGTAGGATTTTAAAGGGGGGACACAACCAGAAACCCACACCCCTCATCTTCCTCCTCTTCTATGAGGACAGAGGTGGTGACACGGCCAGACAGCAGGAAGGCACAAGAGCCACCAGCAGACCTTTGAGAGAAAGATTGACCCTCCTGTGCCCGCTGACCCCAGAGACAGGACACAGACCGCAGGTGAGGGCAGGTGGGGGGCCAGGCCTGCAAATGGGCCTCAGCGACACGTTAGTGTCACTGACTCCTGCACGCTAGGGGTTTTCCAGGCGACGGTTTCTTACCCCACACACAGTTAACAGATGCTGCTGTGCTTCCTGGAACGACAAGAATTCTTTATATTTTCGAAGTAATTTTTGGAAAACACAACCTCTAAGAATGCCTCCATGACTCTAAGATGCTGCTACACAGACAGGTCACGTGTTCCTGGGGAACGCTCCCACCGTGGCTCGTGTAAATGAGCTGTGTGACTTGGACCCCAGCAGCTTGTTAGAGGCTTGGCCACGCCAAAGGAGCCCACCCTTCAGCCACGAGTGAGGGCAATCACCTCCTAATCAGCCTCTCTGCTCCCAGGTCTTCCGACTCCTCTGCAGGGGACGCACAGACGCTGGGGGCCGCCTTTGGAGAATACTGGCTTCACTGCGCCGCCGTGCACGCAGGGTCCCCCGTCCCCAAGGCAGCTGGTGACGGAGCTTGGAGCTTGCAGGGCAGGCTCAGCAGAGATGTCCCCTCATGTTCCTCCTCCTCAATCTCATCACTTTCCTTTCTAACTTATTTAGAATTTTGTTTGTTTTTGCTGCGTTTATGTTAATATCCATGACTCCATCTGCTCTGTACTTAACACCCCAGAGCCAGGACAGAGGACAGGACAGTAAACATCCCTGGAAACACAGCACGGGGGTGGGGGGTGCTGGATCTGTCCTGGGGGAGCATAGGTGGCCTGGCTGGGAGATGCTGCCTGGCTGGAGGGCCTGCACTGCCCTCTCAACTCCACCCAGCTCTGGCTGGGGTTTTGTTCCAAGGGACGGAATTGAAGCCTGTGTTGAGACTGAACTGCTGAGGCTACAAAGCGTAGACTGGGGCATCCCAGATCAATCCTGTCCCTCCACTCCTTCCCCACCCTCTGCCTCTCCTCCAGGAGTTTAAAGACTGTGTTCTCAAGGACCCACAGGATCAGCCCACCGGGCATCTGCCTGCGCCTCTGGGCCTGCCTCCCAGTCCCTCACTTCAGTGGAACAAGGGTAGTTAAAGATTCACTTCCTCTAAGAAGCCTCCTTTGATTGCTTCGCTTCCTGCTGTAAGCCTGTGCTGTCCCGAAGTCTTCGTCACGCGTCATGCGCAGCCCACCTCGGAGGCGCCTTAGGAAAGCGGTCTTCACCCTCTTCTCACAGGTGCTCCGAACAAACACTCCAACATTCCGCCGGGCTCTGTGAGGGCTGCGCTCCCCAAACATGGCCACATGAAGATCCCCCACCTCTCAGGCTCTTGTTACCATGTGACCAACCTCTTTCCACGGAGAGGGGGTGTCTCGTTCCCTCCCTCTGATGCAGGGGGTCTGGGACTGCTCCAACCAATAGCGCAGGTGGAAGGGATGCTATGGGGCTTCCCAGGCTGATCCTCTCTTTCCAGGTCACTCGCTCAGAGAAAGCCAACAGCCTTGCTGTGAGGAAGCCTAACTAGCCCGCGTGGAGAGGAACGGAACCCCAGCCATGAGCCGGCATCACCCACCAGACACGTGAGTGAATGAGCCTTCAGATGACTGTGCCCCCAGCCTTGAGTCTTCCAGCACAGGCCCCACACACGGTGGAGCAGACACAAGCCATCATTTCCCCCCCCTTTTTAAAATACTAGCTTTATGGAGATATAATTCACATACCATAAAATTCACTCTTTTAAAGTACACAATTCGCCCTGGCCAGTTTGGCTCAGTGGTTAGAGCGTCGGCCTGCGGTCCAGCGAGACCTGGGTCCAGTTCCCGCAAAGGGCACGTACCTCGGTTGCAGTTTGTCCCTGGCCCTGGTAGGGTCGTGCGGAAGGCAGCCACTCGATGTGTCCCTTTCATGTAGCCACTCGATATGTCCCTTTCATGTCGATGTTTCTCTCTCTCTCTCTTCCTTTCTTTCCCTCCTACTCCATCTGAACAAAAAATGGAAAAATGTCCTCGGGTAAGGATAAAAAAACTAAAACTAAAAATAAAAAAATAATGAAGTACACAATTCAGTGGTCTTTAAAACATCAACAGAGTTGTTTAGCTATCACTACCATCTGATGCCAGGGCATCCCGCCACCCCCAGCAGAAACCCTGTACCCATCAGCAGCCACTCCCCCATATCTCTTTCCCCCCAGGTCCCCAAAACTTCCACTTTACTCTCTGCCTCAATGGACCTGCCCACTCTGGACACTTCACACAAATAGAATCATGTGATACATGGACCCAAGCACCAACCTCCCTCACCAAGCATGTCCCCAAGATTCTTCCATGTTGCAGCATGCGCCGGCACCCCAATCCTCTCCATGGCCAAACAACATTCCATTGTACGGACAAACAACTCTACCCATCGTTTGGGTTATTTCCACTTTTTGGCTGTTATGAATAATGCTGCTATGAACATTCATGTACAAGATTTTGCATGGACATATGTTTTCATTTCTCTTGGGTATATACTTGGTAGTGGAATTGTGTGGGTCATGTGGTAACTCAGTGTTTAGTCATCTGAAGAATCACCAGATTGTCCATAATGGCTGCACCATTGCACATTCTCACCAGCAGTGTATGAGGGTTCCAAACTCACTACGCCCTCTTCAACCCTTGACATTTTCTGTTTTATTTTAGTCATCCTAGTGGGTGTAGATACAAGCCATCATGACTGCCCTTTCCAAATCCTTGTTAACCCTGAGAAGGACTATACCTGCTAAGAAGGACTCCTTGTGGTTAACGGGGCTCAAATTCATAACGAGAGTCTAGCAGCCAGTTCTAACGGATGGGGCTGCCAGCCTCCTACACTGTGCTCCTGCTAGCTGAGTCAACCCTTCGAAAAGACTTCCTGGAACCATCTTTTGTCCAATGGGCTGAGACTGCTCCATCTATCCAATTGGAACTCCACAGCTATATTCTCATTTGCATTTTTACTGACCAGTCAGAGTGGCTCCACAACAACCATTCAAGATACATGATTCCAACCAATTAAGTCACTGCTTTTTGAACCAATTAAATTGTATAAATTTGGATCCTTCATTGGCACAAAAATGTACCAATCAGTGTGAGCACATTCTCTATATAAGCAGCCTCCCCTTTGTCTCAGGGGAACACACTGTCAGTTTCCTGGAGAGGCTGCATTTTCCTGGTTTGCGACGTTCACCGAATGACCTGAATGAAGTCTCTCCCTTTGCTGCACCCCAGATTGGGGACTTCTGTTAGCATTGGATTGGTGGTGGCAAACACTTATTTTTTAACCTACTGATTTTAGGAAGAGAGAGAGGAAGGAAGAGAGAAAAAAATGCCCACTCATTTGTTATTCCACTTTTTTATGTATTTATTGGTTGATTCTTGTAAGTGCCCAGACCAGGGATTGAACCTGCAACCTTGGCGTATTAAGATGACCCTCTAACCAACTGAGTTACCTGGCCAGGGCGGTAGCGGCAAACTTTTGTTGTCACCTCTGACCGACAGAATGCTCGAGCATGATAAACATGATAAATGGTAGTTCAGTGGCACTAGAAAGCCATAGAAATGGGAGAGATTGCATGAATGTGGCCACAGGAGGAGCAAAGGCCTGGCCTGGCTGAAATTGATGCCCTTCTTCCCCTTCACCACAAAGGGACCCGTATCCTTAGCTCCTACAGACTCATAACCACATTCCTCCAGAGAGGCTGGGCTGCTCTGGGTGTCATGGGAAAGGGGACCCAGCCCTGATCCGGTCTGCCTAGGACCAGCCTGCAGCGTGTGGGTTCTTGACTTCCTGCAGGAAGTTCCACAACACGAGTCCAGGTGAGTTTCAGAGGACGTTCACTGAAGCTGGGACAGTGAAACAAGGCAGGGCTGGGAAAGGAGCCTAGGCTGGGCTGCTTTGGCTCACTAAGGAGTCAGAGAAAAGGGGGCCTTGGGGACAGGTTCAGGGGTTTGCCTGGGATGAACTGTCACTGCCCGTTGCTGCCCTGGTTGCAGGCCTCATGGGGTCCCCTAGATTCTAGGAGATGCATGCCTGTGGGGTCCCCTAGAGTCTAGGAGATGCGTGCCTGCGGGGTCCCCTAGAGTCTAGGAGATGCGTGCCTGCGGGGTCCCCTAGAGTCTAGGAGATGCGTGCCTGCGGGGTCCCCTAGAGTCTAGGAGATGCGTGCCTGCGGGGTCCCCTAGAGTCTAGGAGATGCGTGCCTGTGGGGTCCCCTAGAGTCTAGGAGATGCATGCCTGTGGGATCCCCTAGAGTCTAGGAGATGCATGCCTGTGGGGTCCCCTAGAGTCTAGGAGATGCGTTCTGTGGGGTCCCCTAGAGTCTAGGAGATGCATGCCTGTGGGGTCCCCTAGAGTCTAGGAGATGCGTGCCTGTGGGGTCCCCTAGAGTCTAGGAGATGCGTGCCTGTGGGGTCCCCTAGAGTCTAGGAGATGCGTGCTGTGGGGTCCCCTAGAGTCTAGGAGATGCGTGCTGTGGGGTCCCCTAGAGTCTAGGAGATGCGTGCTGTGGGGTCCCCTAGAGTCTAGGAGATGCGTGCCTGTGGGGTCCCCTAGAGTCTAGGAGATGCATGCCTGTGGGATCCCCTAGAGTCTAGGAGATGCGTGCTGTGGGGTCCCCTAGAGTCTAGGAGATGCATGCCTGTGGGGTCCCCTAGAGTCTAGGAGATGCGTGCTGTGGGGTCCCCTAGAGTCTAGGAGATGCGTGCCTGCGGGGTCCCCTAGAGTCTAGGAGATGCGTGCTGTGGGGGAAGAATGGGAGGGGGAGCACAGGCGTGTTCCTGGGAAGGAGAACTTGAGCTGGGATCTCTGTTTTGAGGGGTTTTAAAGGCTGGGTGTTGAGGAGAAGTCTTAGGGAAGGATTTCAATAGAATTTCATCAGTTTTATGCTGATATGGCAAAATGAGATTTATTCTCTTAACTTCATCTGTCCTTGAGTGGGGTGGGAAAATTGCACTAACTGGATTTCTGCCGTCTGTCTCCCTGAGTAGGGTGATTTAAGCTATTTACCTCCTGGTTGGTGAGAGGTGCAAACCATTTACCCTTGAGTGTTCTTGGTTTAGGGGATGTAAGATTTTTCTAGATGGCTGCAAACTGCGGTTTAACTATCGGTCTCAGCGGCCCTGTTCCTCCTGCCCTGGCTCACTGGCCTGTCCCATTGGGAAGGGCATCAGTGGGAGAGTCATTCACTGTCCAAGCCAGTGCTCCCTTCCAGAGCGCACCCCCAGCCCCCCCCCCAGATGGGGTGTATTCTAACTGCCACCCAGCCAATGGTCAGAACACACCCTCCCTTCCCGAAGGAAGGTTGTGCTCAGCCCAGAGGACTCTCCATCAACCCAGTGTGGTGTTGGTGACAATATAGAATGGCGCCTGGCACCCACCAGGCCGTGGGTGAGGATCAGGAATCTTCTCACAGACACAGGCCTGGGCCACGGACAAGCACAGGGACAGGCACCGCCCAGCTAGGACCACCCGCAGGTCCATCCTGCTCCACTGTCTGACCTGATCTCTGATGCAAAAAAGTTGATGGTTGGGCAAAAGTCCTCAGTGTGACAAAGTGTGAAAAAGAGCCTTCTTCTCATGCTCCACACAGACTGTCTGCATCAGTGAGAGCTCTCCTCGGAGCCACAGCCGGGGAACCCTCAACCCCACAAGGAAGGGCACCTTTTGTCACCAAACCAGCGAGGATAAGGGCGGGGCTCTCCTGGAGGAGGCACCTGCGGGTCTCCTGTAGGGACAGGCCGCTGCTCTCCTGATGCATGACACGCAGGACCCACACATGAGAAAAGTTCCACCCAAGGAAGATAAGTGATAAAAATATCTCTCTCTCTCTCACACACACACACACACACACGCACACACCACAGCCAGTGTCCACTCGGCATTCGAGTCGAGCCCAGGGTCAACCGTCCACACCAGGCTTCCTCACTGCAGAGCAGCCACCGTCCGCCAGCTGCAGGGTATGGCTGTGTTCACAGGGGACGGCCGCACCCTGCCCGGGACGGCGCACTCACTCCGAGATGTACAAACCATCGCGAGCTCCTCTGCCCACCACGAACACCTCCTCACTCGTGCCCAGGCCCCCAACCCACTCCTGCCCTCTCCTAACTCTAACCTCCACAAACCACAGCAGGTGTCAAAGGTTCGCTGCCCAAGTCACACTTAAATGCGAGCCTTGCACTCAGGTGGTTAAAAGTGTTTTCAGAAGGCAAAGTCGTTGTGAGAGCAGATACCGTGGTTATTTCATTTTGTTTTATTGTTGACAGTATTAGAAATGTCCCCCAATTTCTCCCCCTTAACTCCCCTCCTCCCAGCCCCTGCCCACCACACCCTAGGCCTTCACCGCACCATTGTCCATGTCCAATGGCCATGCATATAAGTATACAGGTCCTTTGGTTAATCTCTTCCCATCTCCCCCAGTTCCCCGTGAGTTCTGTCAGCCTGTTCCACGCATCCACGCCTCTGGACCTCTTTTGTTCGTCAGTTTATTATGTTCACTAGGTTCCACTTGTAACTGAGATCAGGTGATATTTGTCTTTCTCTGGCTTATTTCACGCAGCGCGATACTCTCCAGGTCCATCCATGCTGTCGCAAAGGGTAAGAGACCCGTCTCTGCTTGTGGGGCGCTGGCCTGATGTCCTGAGCTGTGCCCGGGAAGGTGAGGTGAAGCCTGTCACCAGCGGATGGCGCTTTGGGGGAGGCTGTGAGCACAGGGGATTTAAGGACAGGAGGACCCCTCCATTGGGGCTGGATTTTACTTTAATTAATTCAACACTTAATACATTTTGCTGTGTGCAAAGGAGGAAGATTGACACTAGTCCAGAAGCAAACATTTTTTCATACACATGAGGCAATTGGGACAAAGGTAGAAAGCATGATGCAAAATAAAAATAGGGCTTTTATCCATTCTCAAACAGACCTAAGATGGGGGGTGGGGCTGCATGGAGGGGTCAGGGCTTCCTTGACTCTGTCTGGCCTCAACTCTCACACAGGACACCCCCAATCTCAGTTCTCTCTCTTGGACAGAGCACATTACTCTGTGTCTCTACCCTAGAACAGATTTTTTATTTTAAAAGCAACATGCTACTACCACCACTTTACATAACAACCTTATTCCTCCAAATAGCGATGAACCCTTGCCAATCAACCAAACAACTTCATCGAATCGCTGTGACTGACACCCTGGGTAGAGCAGCCACCAAAATGAGGCTCAAAAGCCTGAGACTCGAGCAAACCAATACCACTAGCACTCAGCAAGTACATTCCTTAAAAAATGTAAACTTTACCTGTGGCTGTAGCGAATGGCTATCGTCAACCCAAGCTGTAATTAAGAAAGAAATACATATTAAATAATATCAAGAATATGCTGAAGTCACCAGAAAATTAACTTAATTTGGTCAATAATTTTTAAATGTTTCCTAGTATGCCCCACTGAGACTACTTCATAAATAACACATTTTAATAATAGATCTTTAGTTCCAACTTAGCTTTTAGGGGATAATCACATTTTGAAAGGGTCTTTAAGAGGCCTACAATATTTCATTGTGGATTAAACAGAAGGCGTCTCTCCCCGGGAAAGACTTCCAAAACAGGGCTCTTTGTTTTCCCCTTTTTCTCTTTCTTAAAAAATTCTAAAACTTTTTTTTATTGAGGTATAATTGCCGAGTGAAATTGCACATATTTAAAGTGCACAGCTTGATGGGTTCATGTGCATATACACTGTGAAATGATCACCATGCATTCCCGTGTTCATTGACACCCCCATCACCTCACATGACCATCTTTGCTTGGCCAGAACACTGAAGATCTGCTCTTAGCACTTTCCAGTACATAATGCAATACGTTAGCCAGAGTCACCGTGCTATACGTTAGGTCCCCAGAGCGTACTCATCTTTTTTTTTTTTTTTATCCTCACCCTAGGATATTTTTCCATTTTTTGTACAGATAGAGTGGGAGGGAGAGAGAGGAAGAGAGAGAGAGAGAGAAACATCGATGTGAAAGGGACACATAGAGTGGCTGCCACCCGCACGACCAACCAGGGCCGGGGACAAACTGCAACCGAGGTACATGCCCTTAGCGGGAACCGAACTCGGGTCTCTCCGGACCGCAGGCGGACGCTCCAATCGCTGAGCCAAACCGGCCAGGGCCAGACTGTACTCATCTTAACACTGGGAGTTTGTGCCTTTGACCAACAGCCCCTGCGACCCCCCCACCCCAGCCCCTCGTGGCCATCACTGTATTCTGTTTCTAGGAGCAAAACAGGGCGCTCGCGAGTCTTGAGGCAGAGCACCACAGGAGGGGACTGCCGTGTGCACTGCTTCTGAGGTCTGCATTAGGAGAGGACCACCGTCCTCTGTCCCTTCTGCCCCAGGGGACTGACCAGCAGCTTCCCCGGGGGTCACACTGACCCTGTAAGCTTGACGCCAATTGGCCATAGCTCAGGACAGCGAGGCAGCGAGCCTTCCATCCACACGTGACATCGAGAAAGTGTGCAGCCCTGGCTGGTTTGGCTCAGCGGTTAGAGCATCAGCCCTGGACCAGAGTCTCTGGTTCGCTGCTGGTCAAGGGCACCTACCTCAGTTTCAATTCGTCCCCAGCCCTGGTCAGGGTCGTGTGGGAAGCAACCAATCAGTGTGTCTCTCTCACATTGATGTTTCTCTCTCTCTCCCCCTCCCTCCCCTCCACTTTCTCTAAAAGTCAATGGAAAAGTATCCTTGGGTGAGGATTAACAAATGTGTATACATGCACGCGTGTATACATGCACGCGCGCACACACACACACAAACATGCACACACATCAAGCTGACATCATATCATACCCACCTGAATTTATGCAACGATTTATCTCAACTACACCAGGAGGGTACTTTCTCTTAAGCAAACAGCAGAGGAAGTTGCCTCAGGAACAATAAAATTTTCAAAGAACAAGAAGGAAACTATTTTGGGAATGAAATAAAAACAGAATCTACAACCAAAGGTCAGAAGGAGCAATTTACAGATCTCACGTGCTGGGTAATTTTTACGTTTCCTGGGGTTAAAAAGTTCTGGCTTACAGTTAGGCTAATTATAAGATAATTTTACCGACTGACTATTTTGATAAGCTTTGGAGGAGTGTTTAATTGGTGAATTTCCACAGTTGAAAGACAAGCCCTTGCTGGAGCAGGGGAGGAAATGGGCGTCGGAAGGACCGAACCGGGAAAACGCAGAAGCAGCTGTTCAATGGCAGCTGTGCTGGGTAAATGGGGCTTGCAGATAAGCCCTTCGCAGAGGTGAATTTCACTTTAGCATTTTTATTAGTCTTTTCCTGGCTTCTGAATCAAATATGTTTTATTGTCATTTTTTAAAGGACACCTCTGTTAAGGAAGAAAGTGTGAATCTTGGCATCACACGGGCCAGCGCAACCCGTGCAGGCCTCTGTGTGCACAGGCCTGGCAGAGCCTCACCAGGAAACACGGTGACCAGAGCCCGTGCACAGGCGCCGGAGCCACAGGGGAACCAGCTTATGGGGTGGATGGGAACACAGCATTCACAGTCATTCTCCAAATGAGGCTAAAGCCCCACAGAGAATGCACTGGGTCCAATTAGGCAGCCCTGACAAGGTGCTGGGGCAGTCTGGAAAAGTCCTTGTGAGCCCTGCCATGAAACCCAGGTTGGAACAGGCAGAGGAAGTCGGTTAAGCTGTGGAAGGAGCCTTCTGGGCTGCTCCTCACTCCTGCATATCGTCTGACCCCAGAGGAGGGAGAGGACGCAGCAAACTCTGAGGTTTCTGACCATAGCACAGACCAGGTACAAGCAACTGTGTCATCTGCAGAGAGATGAGCCGGAGACACTGCTCCCTCAGCCTGAGGAACCTCTGTCAGCCCATCAGGACCCACTAAGAAGCATCAGCAACTCAGAAATGCTTTAAGCAAGTCTCACTACTACCTGTATGTGCACATACACACATGTGCATGTGTGCACACACATATATACAACTCACACATACGCCATACACATGTGCACACTTGTGTGCATACACTTCCACATTCACATGCATGCACACGTGCACATACACATTGTCCACTTGTATATGGTACACATGTGTACACTTGCACTATACATGTGTGTGTACACATATTAGTAAACATGTGTTTGTGTGCATATGTGTGCACTGGCACATATGCCTACGTATAGGCATGCATACCCCATGTACACAGACACTTTGGCATTCAGAGAGGCCCTCAGAGCCCCTGAGACAAAGGGAGGCCTCAGACAATTGACCCTTTTGTTGCTGGTCTCAGCAGGGACCCAGAGGAGAGGGAGGAAGGGGGCTGGGGGTTGGCCCCTTGACCCCGGCCCAGCAGGGCTGAGGCCCAGGGACAGGGAGGTCAGCGGGAGTTCTGAGCTGCCACCAGCCCCGGAAAGCCCCCCAGGACATACTTTAAGTATTGCCAGAAAGCACTGAACAACCCCCATTTGGAGTCCTCTTTAGATTTGCACAGTTTGTTAACAACAAAATTAAATCACACTTTAATGGCAGGGAAAGAGTAATTTAACATTTTTCAAAATCTCCACCAGCTACAAAAACCTTTTTCCTGCTGCTTCAACCTAAAAGTGCTCCTTCTTTGGAGCCGCTAACTGAGACAGCTGTTTTGTATCAAGTCCGAGCGTTTTCTGTATGACCCAGGGAGCTCAGACAACAGGCAGGCCTTCCTGCATTAGAGGGTAATCTGAGAATAATTTGCCATAAAACACCCAGAAGTGCCCCAGCTGTGGCCGGATACGCCCTATAAAGAACCACGTAGACCGCATGGATCTCATAAACTAATCTTAGTAATTTTAGAAAACGCATTTCTAAAACACACTTTAAAATATTTCACGGAAAGGAACAGTTGACACTGTCTTAGAAGGCAGCAGGGAACTTCCCCCATGTGTCCACGGTGTCAGCGTCTCTCCCGATGCCACCTGACCAAGGGCGCCTCTGTCATTGCGAATCCGTGTCTCGCGGGTCCACGCGCTTCGTGGTGACGAGGCTCACAGGAGACGGGGGAGGGGAGGAGACCCCGAGTGCCGACGTCAGCCACCGGCGGCTGCTCGGAGTGCGAGTTCAGGACGTCCTAGAGCAGGGTGGCGTGCGGCAGGGACACCTTTCACACGGCCGCTCCCCCACCAGCCACGGCGCTGCCACGGGCACTCCTCAGCCCTCAGGAAAAGCTGGAAACCAAGGGTTTCATTTTTTTTGTTTAAACCCACATGTTAAATTGATTTGAATATTTTTCAACTACTATGTGAGCCAAAAAAAACATGTCAGTGGAAGTCGGCCGGCGGCCCAGCAGCCTGCCACCTCTCTGTACACCTGCGGTGCCGCCGAGCGCAGCCCCCGAAGCCGCCGTCCGCATCAGCAGCGACGCCAGGGAAGGGCCTTCGTGTCTTTCTGAGTGTCCACCCCCTTTCCTCCACTGCTGTGGACCTTTCTCTGCGCTCACGTCGCCTTCATCTCAAGACTCCGAAGATTTATAACATCACAAAAGGAACTCAGGAAGAAAGCTTGTTTATTACCCTCCTGCTTTTTTTGTTTATTTTTACCCTTCCTTCCCGTTGGTGGGAGACGCAGAGGAGCAGGAGGGGAGAGGCGTGGCCGGGGCAGACGCACGAGACGGGAGGGGGCGCAGCGGCACCTAGGGCGGGGCGGGAGGAAGGGGTTCCCCGGCTCTCCTGCACCCTTTCTTCTGGTAGTACCCAGGCCCGGGCCACCCCGAGTCCCCCCAGAGCTCCCTCACCCTCGGGCCTGACCCTCAGAGCCCATCACCCACCCCACGGCCCACCAGTCCCCAGCCGGGGCACCTGTCTCGGGCTTTCCCGGGCACTTAGACTTCCTGACAAGTGAACCGCACTGACCTCCCAGATATGCAGTCACAGTGAGCTGTGACCAAGTCCCCCGACTCTCCCTGCTGTCTCCTCATTGTAAAGTGGGGATAACGTTCCCTAGCGCAGGGGTTGTTTTAGGCAGATTAAATTAGAGCTCAGAGAGGAGACCAGCAGCGTCCCGGCCTCTCCAGAGACTTTGTGAAAAATGTAAATTCCCGGGGCCCTGATCCAGACCTTCTGAACCAGGGGGTGCCTCAGCCAGTCCTCCAGGGGTCAAGTTCAGGAAGCACCAAACGACACGGTGTATGGAAAGAACTTAGCCTATATGTGGCCCAGACAAACTCTCATTAAGCGCTATGACGATAACAATGGTACGGCTCACAGTAAAAGTAGTTCACCTCATGTCCCCTAATGTCCTGTCACAGAGCTCGTGACCGCTGTGAGTCCGGCCCCCTGGGCGGCTCAGGGTGATAC